CTTTCCCTTTCCCCTGCACAATCTCCTTTCCTAATTCTTTTTAAGCCGTTCTTCCTGCTATGAACTGCAATTCATTTTTTTTTAAATTAATTTCGTTCTTATCATCAATTCCCTCTCCAAATCTTCTGCCCTTTAATTGATTTTTCAGCTTCCTCATTCAAATCTGCCCCCAATTATAGTTTTCATGAAAAAAATTACTTTTTTTTTCTCACAATTCCCTTACTGAATCGTCTCCCTCCCCTGATTTCTTCTATTCTCTGAACTTCTCAGGGATTAGATCAGTAAAAAAAAATGGCTCGGGAAAGCTGCAACCTTGACCAAGAGGAAGCTGAGCTCCTGAAACCTCCTCCAACCCCTCTTTCTCCATCTCCCCCTCCGTCAAATTCTCTCTTCCTGAACTCTCCACAGGAAATCCCGCCGGCGAGACCGAAGAGAAAGAACTCGCCGGCCGGCAGCACGAAGCCCGATGAAGAATCCCGACCGTCCGTTCGGCCGGGCATTCGTTGTGCGAGCTGCTGGAAAAGAGTTGGGCTCACCGGATTCCGTTGCCGGTGCGGCGACCTCTTCTGCTCCCGCCACCGCTATTCTGAAACCCATAACTGTTCCTTTGACTACAAAGCTGCCGGCCGGGAGGCCATCTCTAGGGCTAACCCCCTCATCAGAGCTGCTAAGATCATCAAGATCTAATAAAAAGGTCTCGCCTTTTTTCCTTTTTGCGATTTAATTATTTCAAGCTCTGGTTTTGTTCTTAGTTTAGGGTTATCTTTTGGGGCCTTATCCAAAAATATAATTGATTTTTTACACTAAATGCGGAATATTATGTTCACGGTCCACATTTACAGATAAACGTCTTATCTGAATAAGCACAAATTGTCTCAAATCCACCCTTAATTATTGTCTTGCGGCAAAATATGAGATTTAAGTTGTTAGGATTTAGTAAATCTTCTAAATCCGGATTTTACTAAATTCGGGACTTATGGCCTCAATCCTGCCTAAATTTTGCTTAAATCCTGCCTAAATTCATCTTAAATCCATTGCCAGACAGCCCTTTAATGTCTCTTATGTTTAGATCTTATATTGTTTGAATGATGGTAATTAATACTTTCATATATTGTTTAAATGATTGTTTTATTATATGCATGGAATATTGTCTTATGAAAATTACATTTTTAATCATAAATCTGTGCAGTTTTGTGCATTGGAAAGCCATATTTCTGGGGACTTCAGAACATAGAACTTGTGTGCTTCAGGCTTGAGTTTGTGGGAGCTCCGGGAGGTTGATTTCATTGAAGATTTGAAGCTTATTTTGTCATATTTCTGTTCCACAGTCCAATTTGGTGGCGCTTTAAGAATATAAAAAGATGGCTATGAACTGGACCGTCCATCCAGTTGCAGGGCTGAGACAGTTTGTGGGGTTTAATTAATTGTTATTATTCTAATCAATGCAGCTAATCAAAATTGCTTTTGCTGTTGAGCCTTATCTTCTGTATTATTCATACATATGGGAATGCGAAGCTTGAATATGAGACAGATCAGTCTTTCTCACAAAGCAAAGAAATTCATCCAAATAGACTAATAAATAATCAAAATTACTCTTAGATATTCCAAATGTATTTTTTTTTTAATTTCAGATTTATAAAGTATTTTCATAAAAATTTTCGTCTACTGAAATTGATAAGATCAATTTCGTTCAGAATATTTAATGAGCAGAGGACTAAATAATAAAAAAATTATGCTATTTAAATTTGGTCTAATTTTATAACCTGCCCATTCTTTTCTCTATTCATTGATTTTTATGAATTCAAGTATTAAAATTTATGATAAAATGATGGGAAAAAATTTGCATGCGTAAGGCGGACGCAGCGCTTCGTACGTCAGGGTTATAGAGAGGGTATTGAGGGGTTATATTTGCGTTATGCCCTCTGTAACCTCTCCGTAACTTCTCTGTAACTTACTTGTAACCTACAAATATATGAAAACAAAATCGTGTAATTTACTAGAAGGTACAAGTAGGTTATAAGTAGGTTACATGGAGGTTACATAGGATATAACGTGAATATAATCCCCCAATACCATCTCTATAACACTGACGTACACAGCCTTGGGTACGTCTAACGTACGCAAATTTTTTTCCGAAATGATGAGGACTGGTTTTGAAATACAAAAATATTTTGCTTTGTTGATGCGTCCAATAAGCTCTTTTATGTTAAGAGGGAGAGCCATTTTCTCATTTGGATCAATTGATATATTTGTTTTATATTGGGTTGTGATAGCTTTGTTAATTTAGATGCAAAATACTTTTTGTTGCTGTTAAATAAATATTTAAAATGAGATAAATTTAATCTTAATTATTTTACTCTATAGTTGAATATTTATTAATTAACTTCTTTTTTTTTTTTTGGTTGCTTATGGATGCTCCTATAAATAGGGTTTTAGATTAATCATTGCTCTCAAATAAAGTTTTAAATTGAAATGAATTTAATTCTACATTCTTAATATCATGTAAACAATTGGCCTTATCAGTGGAGTTTGATAATTTTGAAAGATAATTTGATAGTTTTAACACTAATGTTACAAAAGCATAAACATAAATGATATCAAAATGTTTGGTTGACTCTAAATCACTCTAAGGGTCTGTCTAGGGCAGAGCAGCTATGAAACTGATGAAAAAGAAGTTGTTACTCAAAAAACTGTGGTAGCTATTACAATATATATATATATATATATATATATAACATTATATTTTACTTTTTATATGATTACTATTGGCTCTA